TCTTTAACTTGAGCAGCTCTCGCATTTTTTTGATTTGAAAAAAGCAAGCTATATACGTCCTTGTCATTGCTCGACATAATGTGTGCCTCTACACTCCTGCAATGGTGTTTACTCGATTTGCGTTCTTCGATTCGTTGGTGAACATGCTTTCAATCATTCATGCCATCAGTAAATGCATTGGATTTACTAGCTTTGCTGTAGGCCAGACACACTGTGCAAAATATGGCCTTCGAACTGTGACAGTAAGAAAGCCAAACCCTATTGATATCGTCTTGGCTTCTTTAAAACACTCGACGAACATTTGAAAATGGTAAATTTTCCCCATCCTCTTGAAAAATGATTCAAGGCACTGCGATTGTGGACACATGAAAATTTCTGAACACTGATTCTGAGGCCGGCACGGCTGTTTCAAACCGAGCTTAACGGCTTCTTGTTAATTTTTGAAAATATTGACTAAAGGGGTGTTACTAAAACTTTTATAACTTTTGAAATATAAGAGGTAATTATGTTTTGTAAAAACAATTAAGACATCAATAAAATGTTTTACCTTATGACATTTAATGCATTAGTAGAAAAACTTCTTTTAGTTTAGAATAAATATGACATATATTGAATTTGGCTAAATTTTTGTAATTTGATGTTACTTTTTATCAAAAAAAAATTAGAAAAATATATTCCTAATAGTTATTATCAAATACATTTATTGTTTGACAATAACGAAAACAAAAAAACCTTACTTAATTATTTAAGGTTAACTAAAACAGCCTTAATCGAATTGTGAAAGCAAACCACATTTTTCGCAAAATTATGAAAAACGTCGTTATAAGGGGGGATTAGTTGTTAAATGAGTACTTTTTTTAATATAGAAGTTCTTGATTTAGAAAATTATTTTGGAACGCTGATAAAATCATTACATTACAAAATAAAGTTCTAATAATATGGTGTTAGGTAGTTAATAAATAAAAACTCATCAATTCTAATAAAATAATTCATGACCAAAATTGAGTTAAAGGTTTTGAATTAACCTAGCTTTTGGTAGTAGAATTATTTTATGGTACTTGTATCAATAATCTCTTCTCACAAAAAATAAAGTGTTTAAATATACACAAATAGCTGATTTAAATCTTTTGATAATTCGTTTTTATTTTCATTAAAAACTGTTTTATAATTAGTTGGTCCATTGATAAGTTCTTCAAGCAGTAAACTATCTTTGAACACCCAGATGATACTAGACTCATACATAATTCATTTATAACCAGAAGAACATTTGGTCAACTTGGCAATTGTGATAATAAAGTTTAAAACTTCTTAATTTATCAAGCTAAATTTTTACACCAACTTGATAAATGAGACTTATATTCCATTCTTTAACCAGAGAGGAGGTATGTAGAGCAAAGGTCCTGCGAAGGTAGAACAAACTTTTGATGATAAAAATTGAACGGAGATCTAATATATGTAAAAAATGTTACATATTACATTACAAAGGATTAAACGTTTTTTGAATTAACTACATAAACATACAAAATCATATCCAACAAACATACCAGTTGCTCTGATCACAAATTAAAATAGTTAGCTATACATTTGATGCTAGACTTTTATTCCATTCTTTAACCTGAGCAAAGGCATTGCATAGATATAATAAACTTTTGAAAATAGGAACAGAATGGGCATCTACCTAATATATAAAATAATTGTAATAAAAAATTATTATTATTTTGAACAAACATTACAGGCATTAAAACAGAATAGAATTCTCTTATTTGTAAATTTTAGATCTCATATAATTTATCTTAGATGTAAAAAGTTTAATTTTTTTTTAACTTTTCAAACATTTAAACTAAATTTGATGACCACAAACAAGACAAAGACCTTGTCTATAAAATGAATTTTCGCCACGCTCTGAACACACAACACACTTTCTCACCTTAGAGGCTTGAAGCTTCCTATCAGCTTTGCTGTGCAATTCAAAACGTTTTAAAACAAGATGCAGCTTTTGCTCCTGATTTCTAACTGAATGCAACTGCCTTAATTCGTTATTTACGCTATTATGCAAACACTCTCCCTCCTCTTCACTCAGCAACCCAATAGTTTTATGCAATTTTACAAATAGAGGCACATTGAAAATGAGTTCATGCATTTTTCGCGTGATACTTTCTTTTGGAAAGCAAGCATGAAACTCAATAGCAAATAAATATATATATATATGGATGAAGCTCAGAAATTTCAGCATCAGAAAGAAATTTTTGCTTAAAAAGAATAGGTTGCAAATTATTAAAAACACTAAACACACGTACAAATCTATTTTTAATTGCTTCATCATCAATAACACTACAAAGTTTATAGTGGTTTCTTAATACTATTTTACAATGATTACCTACAAATACATTACCATGGTAAGCTTGTTGCTCAACTTTCATATCTTCAAGGGACTTATAAAGAGACCTCTCATGAGTCCCCATGCTACTTATAGATATTTTTTCTAGGTCTTCACACTCTATCTGCAATCGAATATACTCAACATCTAAAACTTCGCGCTGTGCGCGTATAAAAGAAATTTTTTCAGAAATATAAAGGTCAAGACATTCTAAATCTTCACCCTGACATGCTAAACACTCATACTTCTCTATATCACACAATACATTCTTTTCCGAACCACCAATAATTTCACAAAATTGATGGAACAATTTTTGGCACGTTCCACACTGCACCCAATCAATGTTACAATCATATTTAGTAATTAAACACCTGATACTAGCACACTTTTCTTGCTGTTTACAGGTTTTTTTTTTATTGGAGGAGTTTAGAGATATGCATTCCAATTCAGAAATATTTTTATCAAAAGCTAACCAACGAGTCTGTAGATTTGCAACGTCTACAAATTGATTTCCTAATAAACGTAAAGAGTCTGCTGTTTTAGAACATTCAAAGCTTTTAGCAGCCCACAATTCATTCGTTCTCACATTCTCATTATGCAACAAAGACGAAACAGCTTGACAATCCAAAGTCTTACACTCCTTCAACAATAACTTATAAAGTTTTAACACAACTCCTAACATAATATGCAAAACAGGTGGCACTACATTATCTAAAGTTATTATGGGGAAAATCACAGGAGCAATAACTGAATTATGAAACTTACCTAGAGCTCTTAGGTTTCCACCTTGTCTATCTTCACACAAGTTCTCATTGTAAGCACTTTCCATAGATTGTATTGTCCTCCTTAAGATGTTACAATTAGCAGGTGTGTGAGGCATAGAAGCATGGTTTCTAAGAGAATTCAACTTAACTAGGTCTGTAGAACTAGGAAAGCTAGCAGCTGAACCCTGGTGTCCCAGAACATCATCGATAAAATGAAAATCTCCACCTAAGAACAACCTGACTATTTTGCCTTTTAGCTTAAAATCTGACGACTGAATTCTTTTAATGTTGTTGGCATAATGCCCGAGAACTAAGGCAATATTCTCACGACAAATACTGTCACCTGAAACTCTTTATTGAAAATTTAATGATTTTTTTTTTTTTTTTTTTTTTTTGTTAAAAAAATTTCGTCTTGCCTTCTAATAAACATAATTTAATAAGTTATAAATACTTTGAATGAGTTATTCAATTAGTTATTTAATGTCCAGTTTTCAAAATTTTCGTCGCGCAAAGAATTTTTTTAAATATTATATAAATAATGGAATAATTAAATGTTGTCAGCTAAATGAAATATTACATGTATAAATGATATAGATTAACAAGTGGCTTCTATATTCGACGAAGTTGTATTAACAACTTTTTCTTCAGAAAATTGCAAAAAATGCAACTTCAAAAAAATTTAAAATTTGGAAATTTCTGGAAGACGAACAGACTTTTTTTATTCTTCTATTTTATATAAACTTTCAAGAGATGTTTTTTTTTTGTGGTTTAAATTTTTATTTTGTGATTTGGCATGAAAAAACTTTGTTTTTTTATACCAAATCACAAAAAAAAGTTTGTTTTTTCATACCAAATTACAAAAATTTTAAATTTTATTATCTTAAAGGAAGGTCTTAAACCAGCTATGACGATAATGAGACATGACATTATATCTATAACAAATATCATTGAAAGCTCAGTTGTTTACGGCGCTGATGACAGCGCACTAAACAACTGAGTTTTCAATGATATTCGTTAAGGAGAAAAACAAACCTACTTATAAATCTCTTATAAACTTTACGTGAGCAAAAAAGGTAACAAAGAATAAGTATAGAAATGATTGGTGTTTAATAGATAAGTTTAGAAATTTTATGGATCTGGAATGCAAGAAATAGGTATATGAATAAGGAAAAAGATCTGTGAGCAGAACTTATTAATGTTTATTCGAGGTAAAAGCGAGGAAGAATAGCAGCACTTTTTTTATAAGAAAAGTCAATGAAATTATTTTCAAATATTTAGCTTACACAAACTTCAAATTATGTAATGTTAAAAATTAAAACTAGTAAAATAATAATGCATATATTAGTTTTTGTAGTTTTACTTTCTCTTAAAAATTGTAATACGGCACGATCTCCTTAAAATTTGATCTTCAGCACTAATTTCCGGTTTATAAAGTTTTTTATTTGTTATTTAGTTTTAAAATTTTCTTCAGACATATCTGCGTGACTTAGTGGTTAGCACGCAGAACTCCTAATGCAGAAAGTCCAGGTTTGATTCCTACCAACGTTGTTTATTAATTTTTTTTAAGTCTTTTTCTATTATTATAAAATACAAAGTAAAATGCTTTTGAAAAAATAAGTTTTTTTTAAACAAAATTTGTTTTGCTTTGCAATTTGATTAACAAAAATTTAAAATAAAAAGCAAGCTGATGATTTGAACTTGCCACGTAGCATCCTTGACTTTTTTTAAACAGTAATGAGTTTTAAAAAATATGTTTTGTTTAAGAACATAGTTGAACATTCTAATTTTATATTTAAATTAACCGTTTTATTAAATTAATAACTTTTAAAAAAAGAAAAACGTTAAAAACACATAAAAATCATATTTGTTATGAAAGTGTTTATGTAGCACATCTCTAAGTACTGCCACATTTTATTTTTAATGTGAATTTGAAATCTAAACGAAAAACACAAGTCTTCCATTACATCTGTTCCGTTATTTAAATTATTCGGTCAAATACATCCCAGTAAGCACAGAACGTTTTTAAAACGTTTAAAAAACCTATTAAAACAGTACCTATTAAATTGATATGCTTATGCAAAAAGTACGAAGAGTTTAGCTAATAATACTTTTTTTTCAATTTAACAACCTAAGTATCTTTCTAATAAGATATTTATATTTTAATTCTTTTCTTGTTAAACAAAACAAAGCAAAAATTTTTTGTTCTAATATTTATAGATTTTTTATTTTACAACACGATAACTTTATTTAGTGGTTTTCATTCAATAAATAGGCACCTGTAAGAGTTGCGGTATTCGTTGAATTGTGTTCAAAGATATGTGTAATTTAGATTAAAACTCAGTATGTTTATCTTATGTTTGTTTTTTTACAAACCGTAGGCCTATATGTTTACATAATGTTTTTCAATAAGCATATAATAACAGATTCAACACCAACGTACTGACTATTTATTATTATCATCCAGGTAATTGTCTGATCGTAACATAGCAAATTTATTACAATCTAGCGCGTTGCTGTCATTTATCTTATGTTTATGTTATTAACAAAACAAAATAATTAAATGGTCAATACTATATGCTCATCTTGTTTTCAATTCCAGTTTTTATGTAATTCAAAGTACTATTTGTTAAAGAAAATGTCACTAATTAAACCAAAGAAAAATAACATTGAACCAACAAAATTAAAAAAGTCGGTTAAAAAGAAATACGTGAAAGTGTTGAAGTCAACAAACAAAATATGGTTGGTTCTTTGGAAGGTTTAAAAACAAGCTCTTTGCCGATTACCAGAAATGTTTATAAATTTTTCAGGTTAGGCTTAATACTATATTAAGACTGAAGTTATAACTTTATGTTTTTAAAAGTTTTTTTAAAGATTTAAATTATTTTCATTTTCCATTTCAAGGTATCACTTGCAAGTTATTGATAGCTCTTATGAAGAGTTTACTAAAGTTAGGGAGGCATTGCACACTCAAAGCAATATTTTAAAATCTAGGTTAGCTGCATTACTTACTATTAAATCAGTCAAGCACTTTTGGGATAAGGCTGGCATTCCATATAAACAAGACAAGTACAGTATTAAAAATATTTTAAGGCTACATGACAAATGGAGGTTGCTTGCAAAATCTAAAAATAGAATTTCTAATGAGAAGAGTTTACTTAGACAAAACTTTTTTCAATCATTAGATGGCAATTTTGATATTAGTTCTCCTAGTTGGAAAGATGACATTAGAAAAACCAGACCATCATAAGATGGATGCAGATAAAGATATTACCTGGTTGCAGATAAAGGATTCAGATAAAGATAATGCCTGGTTTACAGATCTTCAAAATGAAATAAAAACTGGAGGAATTGGTGCAAAAGATAATGTGCTACATTCTAGTATAAGGAAAAAAAAAGAAAGAATCAAAAAGAAACAGGTGGCAACTGAAAATCAAAAAAGAAGAAAAATAGATAATAAAAAAACTGTTAAGTTGGTTGTTATAGTAGTGACTCAGCTGAAGATTCTTATGTCACTAAATCTAGTCGTTCTCTGAGTTCTGCATATCAAAACTCTCCTAAAAGTAATCCTGAGTTTAAAATTTTTAAAAGGCAGCAAGGAGGAAAAAAAGATACCGGATCAGATAGTATCACACTGGTCTTGCCAAAAAACTTCATTTCTCACTGATAACAGCAACTGCATATAGAACTAAGTTATCAAATCCTCAGCAGATGATGAATACTTCTGTAATTCTAGCTATAGGTTCGTTTTTTATTAACAAGTAAAAAAGATTGTTGTATACAATCTAAAAAGAAACATATATTTTAATTTTACAAAGGTGGTGTTAAACCTGACAATGTTAGCCTTTAAATAAATACTATAAAATCTAAGGGCAAAAGTTTGAGTATTTAACTGTTTTGGTCAGTGGCTTTCCTAATTGTGTTGAAGGAAAAATATTATCAATAAAACCTATACAGTCTGGTAAAGGATTTGCTATTTGCAAAGGAATCTTGGAAGACTTAGAGGAATGAGATCTCAAAGCCAACATTGTCGCCCAAGTTTTTGATAGGACTGCATGTAATACAGGAGTTAGGAATGGAGCTGCAACTCTTTTAGAGGATTGTAAATCAATGAAAACTCTTCTTTAGCTGGCTTGTCGCCATCACATTTTAGAATTGATCTTGGGGGCATTTTGGAGCTCCTTATTTACCTCGATTTTTATATAGCAAACTTAAAAATCTTTTTGACTTTCAGCTCAGTTTTATAAGTTAAAGCTTGGCTAAAAGCAACAAAAGGCTCTGATGCACCAAATCATCACCAACGATATTCATTTATACAATGATTTAGGCGCTCTAGGGCAGATCTCAGGCTTCTCTAATGCAGCTCAGAAAGCTCAAGAAGTTCTTAACAGGCACTCATGGCATCTAATTAAGGAGGTTTCAGTCTCTTTTCAATTAAGGTTTCTGCTAAAGAAAAGACTAACATTGCGTTAAAGTTGATAGATCTAGGAAAGCCACTTGCTATCAACTCTGGAAAACCTAATCTTCCATCTATTCACAAGAACTTAGAGATGTTGCCGCATATTGGGAAAAGATCTTGGTTGCTCTTTCATAACTTAAACGATAAAGATAAATGGTTCAAAATTCCTCCTTCAAAATGGGAAAAAGATGGAATCTTGTTAAAGATGAAATATTTTATCAAAACAGTCAAGGTTACAAACGATGTTGCAGAACGAGGAATCAAGTTATTTTCGGATTATCTTCAGATACTCACAAAGGTGGAAGAAAGGTATTTTTAAATAGTATTTAAAGTTTTTACCCAGATTTTTTTTACAGAATGTTTGGCTAATTTTAGGATGAAGCAGTACGAAACGAAATAAAAGAAGTCGTTAAAAATCATAGAAAACTTGTTGGTATTTTCAATAAAAAGAAATTATTCTCTGACTTTGTTCAATTCATATAAAAATTTCCGTTATACCACTCATCACTGCACGAGATAGCACCTTGGTTATATAGATTAATGAATTCGATTTTAAAAGTTAAAACCTATTTTGTGTGATAATTAAAGCATTTTAAACATTTTGAATAGATGCTATATATGTCCCAATCCCACATCACCTAAGTTTTTGTATTGATATTTTTACGTAAAAACGCGATTCTTTAAATAAAATGCGGCAGTAGTTAGAAACATCATAGAAAACTTTTTTTTTTAAATAATAATTTCTATATATTAATAGGCATTTCAGTCCATTTTATGACCTTGTAATAAAATTAAGTTGAAATGTTAATTTTAATTTAATTTTATTCAAAATTTTAATCTCGTTTCAAAATAAGTTTATCCAATTTTGTAGCACCTATGGTTATCAAGAAATTTGCATTTTAATACTCCCTAATTTGACATTATTTTAGACAAAAAATGCGCTTTTTCTTTTCAGTTTTTTTTTTAACATTTATTTTTTATCAGCAAAACTGCGTAAAAATTTTAAGCAACGACTTTAGGCAATAATCTATCTGATATCATTAAACAATATACAAATAAAATAACTTTCAGTTCACAACTAAACTTTAGAACACCAGAAAAAATATATATACATTAATATAGTCATAGACACATTACACATTAATATAGTCATAGCTCTATTACAACATTAAATTGTGAAAAATCAAAACACAAGGTTGCCCAATTTTAAATTTTCTTGAATATTATGGATACGATATTATAAGTATTATAGATTAATATAAACGATTTGTATATATATATATATATATATATATATATATATATATATATATATATATATATATATATATATATATATATATATATATATATATATATATATATATATATATATTTATATATATATATATATATATATATATATATATATATATATATATATATATATATATATATATATATATATAATTTATAATATATATGATATATTTCTAACATAATTTTACTAATAATATATATAATAATTATATATGATTCGTTATAATAACTATAAACAATATACATATAAATATTATAGATTATTATACACTAATAATTTATAATAATATTATGTAATTTACAATGTATTTCTAATATGATATCACTAATAATATATATATAATAACTATATATGATACATTATAATAACTATAAACAATTTAGATATTATAAATATTATGGATTAGTATATACTAGTAATTTATAATAATATTATATAATTTATAATATATTTCTACTATAATAATACAAGTAATATATACAATAACTATATACGATACGTTATAATAACTATAAACAATATAGATATTATAAATATTATGCATCAATATATACGAATATATTATAACAATATTATATAATTTATATATTTCTACTATAATAATAAAAATAATATATATAATAACTATATACAATATTTTATAATAACTATAAACAATATAGATATAAATATTTTAGATTAATATATACGACTAATTTATAATAATATTATATAATTTATAATATATTTAATATATTTATAATATAATATTACTAATAATATAAATAACTCGTATTTATTTCAAATAAATTGTAAAATAGGCTTTTCACAGAACTATAACCTTTCCTTTTTCAAGGTCAACAAGCAATGGAAAAGTCCATACTTGATTGTCTTCAGTCTCATAGACCACATCAAACGAAGTTTTTTTTAAGTTATGAGTTAACTTGTTTACTCGAAGAACTTCACCTTTACACCAAAAGTATTTTTTAATGTCGATTTTCACTATTTTATGTTGAATAAGTTTCCCAACAAGATAGTTAACATCATTTAGAATAATAGGCAAGATGTTTATTTTTTGCTGATTTGCTAATTGAGACAGTCTTGCATTCTTTAATTTTTCACCTAACTCTTCTTTCTGTTTTGCAATCAAAATATCTCGTTCTATTCCTTCAATAGGAATAACTCTTTTCTCGATGGGCTCTGGAAAAGTCTTTGTTCTAACAACTGATTGTAAATTACTGAACAACTCCCAGTTTGTTAAGCCTATTCGCTTACTACCAAGCGTTTTAGTTTTGTAAAAATATTTAGGCTCACATTTAACTTCCATTACATACCTATAAAAATCCAACTGTGCTCTTAATATTTTTTTGGTTTTAAATGTGTCAACTAACAAAACATGTTCATAATCTGCTTCTTTTGAGGTCAACCACACCTTTGTCCCCAAATTTAACAACTCATTAACCGATTTAGCTTTTTTTAAGAAGGCTTTATCTTCAGCTGCTTTTTTAGCTTTATGCTTTTCAGACAATCTTTTACTCATTTCAAACTTTAATTCTAAATGGCGTTGTTTGTATTTATCTTTCATTTTGCTAAAGTTTGTTGAAGCTTTTTTTAGCAATGAATTACGTTTATCTAAATTCTTTTTATCCAACTAGTCTAGTGTTTTGTTTTTATACCACATAGTATAAGCTTGTATAGTTTGTATTTTGGCATTAGGCTTTGTACGAATTAAAGGATTTAATACTGCAAAGTCACTTTCTGACGCTTTGTTTGTTGTTGGAACATTCTCTGCAGCCTTATTTATATTATCAGAAGGATGCCAATATTTACCTCCAGGAAGTTGATTACTAGATTGTCTTTTCAGAACAACTAACAAAGAATGGCAAATCACTTCTAATGTCTGCTGTGTTAAAATATTTAAATCAGTGTCATTAGTCTTTTCAAATAATTTATCATACGAAATGTCTTTATAAATATTAACATCATTTGGACTGAATATAGGTGTTTTTGAGATCATAATCGATGATGCATTTTTACACAAGTCTGAAAGTTTTATTTTTAGGGTTAACAAAAATGGATTTATATCAAGAATACTCTTTTGCGATTCAATTATCCTCCAAATTGGACTTGTAATTATTTTATCAACTATTCCAAGAGCCCGCACTTCTGCTAAATATAATTTGTTGCTAATATCTTCTTTATATGCAAGTAAAAGATTATTTTGATTTGGCCAATTTTGAAGAAACTCTAAAATATCTTTTGAATGAAAATATAAAGCTGCAGCATTATAATATAATATATTAAATCGTTTACCAACAAAGGGTGCAAGCATACACTTACTTTGTCCTTTACCAGCAAGAAATGCATTAAAATACCCAGCAACACCAGCTTCATCACTTCCCCTAACATGAAAAGCTTTACATGCAGTTCTTATCAATCTAGTGGCACCTGATTCAGCAGTATTGAATGCAAAAATATTTTCATAACTACTACTTAAAACTAACTATTCGAACGAGTAAATTGTTTTATCAGTTTCTGTTGCAAAGTTAGTTAGTAAATGCAATTTACAAAAAAAGTTAGACATTTCAATGAAATCTGCTTGCTCGCCTTTTTTTAAACCTTCCCAGTTCTTTATAACTTTAAGCAGTAACTTTTTCCTCATATCTTTAAGCTTTAAATTAAACAGTGGATTAACTGGTCCAAGACATGGTAGTTTTAAAAGAACATACAAGAATAAAAAAATCGTTTTCCTTGCTGCTACTTTCTAAAATGTCACATATATCATCTAATATTTTTGTTAATGCATTAATAGTACAATCTGCATCACTGCCAGCCATTTCACATAATCCAAAAGATAAAGTATCTCAGTTTTTGGTAGTAACTTGGAAATTTTGAAAATGTCTATGATGTTTAGTGGTACCGTCACTATGAAGACAATTGCCCGAATTATTTTCTACAGTGTTTATCATTTCTTCTGCAACTTAAAGTTGAGCAAGTGTTAATGCCTCAGTCATAAATCGAGATTTTGTACCGATTGAGGGAAGCTTCTCTATATCTACCTTTGCTAGTTTTTTAAGAACAATTGTGATAACTTCATTAACTTTGTTCATGCTGACATTCAAAGAAACTAACTCCACAATAACTTCTCTTATATCATTAGAATACCATCCATTTTGAAATACTACTATTTTGCGATCATGGAGGAGACAACTTAAATTAAAATTTTTATTTTCTTTCCTTAATACTCTAGGAGAGTCAGTATTTGAACTATTAGAAGAAAAAATTTCATGTTTATTTACTACCATGCTAAACTTCTTGTTTGCATAATACAATTTTTTGCATGTAGTTCTTTTTTTCTCATGAAGGAGTGCAACTTTATTGTCACTTTTTTCAAGCTTACCTAACAAAAGTTTAACTTTTTTATTAAGATTTGTAATGACTTTATTATAGA